TTTGTCTATATATTATATATATAGTATATTATTACATGTTTATCAACAACTTCTTAATCTTATGCCAAGCCATATGTGTTTGTAAATAGCGTCTTTTACTGTTTGGAGGTCAAGTGCTGATTTATACATACAGAGCTATCGAAACATTCAGAAACACAACAATATTTATAGCAGCAATGGGCAAGCTCTTGAATCTACCAATTTGTGAGGGATTCCTAAAAAACCTAAACCATTTTGTCATAACATTGTGATGTTCACTCCTTCAACCTTAGTCGGTATTACTTGGACGAACAGTCTGAAATTCACATTGATTGGCCAAAGACTCAAATTCTTCTTCTGTGCCTTCAAGGTGTTTCCTGTCCTAATAGGACATATAATATCTCCCTTTATTTCTGATTCTGCTTCACTGGTTGGCAGGGCCGGATTTAGTCTTTCTGCTGCCCCAAGGCCAGGTTCCTCAATGAGCCCGCCATACCCCCCAATCCAGAATGGCAGACCTGCAGGTTGCATACAAGTGATCTTGCCACTGAGATGCAAGCGGGGGCTTCCCAGCTGTACATTTAGCTCTGCTTGCCCAAAGCAGGGCTAAATGTAGAAAACCACTGCATGTCCCGGGCGTCGGGAGATAGGAATTCCACACCCCTGCTGCCCCAAGGCCGGGCCTTGCTTGGCCTCCTGGGAAATCCGGCCCCGCTGGTTGGTTTGTAGCAGTTTCAGAAGTAGCTTCCAAGGGAGCATTCGTATGAGAAGTCTGAATTTTCTCAGCTGGCACCTTGTTGAGCTGGCTCGGCCATTGCTCACAGATGTTCCCTGGTAGTTTCACAATTGAGCCGTACCAAGTATTTCCATCTGGTCCCAGGACAGGATCAGAATAACCTTGAGGGATCAAATCTTATACTTGCCTTGGAAGGAAAGAAGAAGAGCTAGGGAAATTGACTATGAAAATGGAACTCTGACTGGTCTGCCCCTACTGTAACCCCCCCAACCTTTAGAATAATCAGACTTCGACGGTGCAAATAGAGGTTCTAAAATGAGAATAACTACCCAGCAATTTTTAAAATTAATTAGTATTTCCCTGTCCCAGGCAAGCCTAGGCTGCAACTTCCAAAAAGTTAAAGAGGTGCTTTACTAAGCATTATATATTGTGTGAGCAGGAGATCGGTAGCTGGTACATAAGACCCCTGGGAATAAGTAGTCTCTTGGGCACAGATACCAAATCCAAGGGAGTAGTGGCAAACAGTGCAGTGTTGATTGGTGATATTTACAAGTCTCCCGCAGGTGCTGTACAGGGGTTCACAAAAAAAAAGACTAACAAAATAAAACCTAGCCGTATCCCCGGCACTAACTTCATAAACCAAAGTCCTAACGAACAGGCTGAGCAGACCTACCGCTTGTCAGCCTCCACATACACCATTTGCTAGTTTTGTTACAAACCATTCCGCTCTCCCAGACAGGACTTGTCTGATCCCCAGGCGGAGAGCTCTAAGTACAGGTTCCAGGTGAGCTTTAAATTGCCAGTGGAGAGAGGAGTAAACCCTGCACTGGAGCCCGGATCAGCAATTCCTAAATGTATAGGAGAGGAACCTGGGAGACCTCTAAACTCCAAACAGGACTTTCCCAGCCTCCCACTGGGATGCTCTGCTACAAGAGCTAAACCTGCTCCATAACATAACATAACCCAAGAAATGGACAGATGACGTATCTTGACCGAGCTTTGCTGTTCTTATCGTAGCAACACGTATAGCATCAGGCTGAAGGACGCAAACCATAGGGATTTGGAATGGCCTTGGTGATTTAGGCTTGTGTAGTAAAGTGCAATATGCAGAGTGATTTAGGAATTAAAGAGCAGGTCGCAGTGGTTCAGTGCAATGAATACTTCATAGAGTTATAGAATCGTTCCCTTAGCACAAGTGAGAGTGTGAAATTATATTTTCAAGCACAATGTTAAGCTAATACATCTATGTGTAGGTTATAAATCAAAAGGTGTTTAGAAGATTA